AACTTGCTTCTTCAACAACAATCCCATATGAGAGAGAGAATGACCTTAACTTTTATTAATTGTCATTGCATAAGCAATCATTATCGAAAGTTGTCTTCTCTGAAATTTGAATGGAAGTCTCACAATCTGAAGGAATAAGTGATAATCATGGATTGAGAACGTGTTCTGCCAGTGATAACTTTGGCTTCCAAGATATGGTCATCGCGCTTAGTCATTATAACCCAAATGTTCTCGTAATGTAAACCATAAACAATATACCTCACAGATGAAATTCTATATTATCTATCTCATTTTAAGCATAAAAGATATACAATTGGGCAAATTACGACTTTGAATTCTCTGTAGGCAGTAAGGTTTCGATAAGGTGATAATTTTGACCATGGAGCTTAAAATAGGAGGACATCTTCTCGTATTCAAATTATTCTCTATCGCCCTCTCATGGAAGGGAAATCAAACATACTGTTATAAGACGTAATATTTTCGATGAAAAGTTTACTCTTTTGACATGTGTCGTGAATGAAATCACACAACTAAGCCGGTGGTTGTTTCATGGGTGCAATGTTGACTTTACTATGATTGCAACAAAGAGAATACATTGGACTCTTCTTAGTAGAATTAACAACCCGTTCTTCCATCCAAAGCGGTGCAACACAATATGTACACTTGCATATTTGAACACCGATATCCAATACTCCGTGACACACACATATATAAAATATAAAATCTAATTAACAATACAACCCAATACTGATGAGAATTTATTGAAATTTGTATTAAACAACATTATTCAATGGCGGTCAACGAAAACGTTGACTGATGGATAATGGATTAATTGATACCGGATGGTATTAGTTAATTATGAATTTATATAAACGCACGACTTTGCATTGATTGTGATACATAAGCTTTATGTATTGATTTAGCTATGAATGAATAAATATGATATAGATCCTATCTAGGTTGATAGGAGGTTGATCATAGGATTATAAATTGGTGGAGGACCCTAGGACTTAAAGTCCTTAACACTCATATTTTGGTGGAGGACCCTAGGACTTAAAAGTCCTTAACACTCATATTTTGGTGGAGGACCCTAGGACTTAAAAGTCCTTAACACTCATATTTTGGTGGAGGACCCTAGGACTTAAAAGTCCTTAACACTCATATTTTGGTGGAGGACCCTAGGACTTAAAAGTCCTTAACACTCATATTTTGGTGGAGGACCCTAGGACTTAAAAGTCCTTAACACTCATATTTTGGTGGAGGACCCTAGGACTTAAAGTCCTTAACACTCGGATAATAAATTGGTGGAGGACCCTAGGACTAAAAGTCCGTAACACTCAAATACAAATTTGGTGGAGTACCCAAGGATTTTGATCCTCAAAACTCATAAATTATGATATTGAAGTATGGACAAGGAGGAGTCCTATACACTCATAGGCATATGGGTGGGTTGGGGTTTTTAGTCAAGGATATTGCCTATTAATATTTTCCCAAATAAAACGGTGATCTACGGATCGGGTATTTTCCAAGTGTATATGTACTACTAAGTATTTTTTAACTTGGGGGAAAAGACTATTTACATAAGTATCACCCTATGTTTGGGTCTTATACTTGAAACGCTAGTTATTCTATATTTAGCCTGCTACTCGCTTGGTACTTGTACTGACCCCTTCGGGGGGGCCACCATTTCAGGTTGAAGTTAAGGCTTGTCATCTACACCTTTGCACGGGTGAAGAGAATCAAGAGGAAGACATGGTTCGTGCTCCCTCTACTATTTCAAAAAAATAAACTATGCTCATGGATACTTTTGTATTAATACATTGTTTTGGCCTGCGAGCCTACGTTTTGGCCATGTGTGGCCCACGATTAATTGTTGAATATTTCCGCTATTCAATTAATCTAAACTGTGATGTTGTTGTGTATGTTTACTACTGAGTATGGATATATTATGTTCATGAACGCCTTGTATGATTAAGACACGTTGACTTGCGAGTGACGTCACTTGGTCATACGGCGGTTGTACACGCGCCTAGATGTGGTCTGGGGCGTGACAAAACCAAGTTCTTTTTATCTTTGAATTAAATCATATATAAGTTGTTCATCTTAGTTTTTAATTAAATTAAATCATTCAACACCAACCCCCCCCTAATTACTAGTTTCATTTAAAAAGAGATTTATTCCTTTCCATGTGGATATGAACTCTACTTCATTATGCTACGTATAAGTGTTAGTATTGAATATTATTTTGACACACTACGACAAAGTGCTCATCAATGGTCTCATGGTTGTTGAGGAGTATGGAACCGACGGTGGCAGCCTCCATACCCTTTCAAGAAGAAGCACGGGCGTTGTAGATTTACCTGGATGTTTAGCCAAAGAATAATTAGAATAATTTTAATGTATTGTATTGCTTAGCCCAAAAGTTCATGCGGCATCCCGTTAATATAGGAAAAGCCGACTGATTACAAGAAATACTCCTAGAAGGAAACAATCTCTATTAACTAAATAATAAATGATAGAATATTTCCCTAGCATAAATAAGAGATATCTGTAATACCCCCCTCAAGTTGGAGCACGCGGGTCCAGAATACCCAACTTGCGGAGAAGAAAATGAAATTGGGTTTTGCCCAGAGCCTTGGTAAAGATATCCGCCGGTTGAATAGTAGTCGGTTCGTAGTTGGGAGCAATCAGATTATCCTGAATAGGATTACGAATGAAATGACAATCCACCTCAATGTGCTTGGTGCGCTCATGGAAGAGCGGGTTCCGTGCAATGTGTAAGGCGGACTCACTGTCACAAAATAGAGGAATAGCTTGTGGATGATGAATACCCAAAGTAAGAAGAAGAGCTTTGAGCCATTTCAGTTCACAAGTTGCGACAACCATAGACCGGTATTCTGCCTCAGCCGAAGAACGAGCCACAGTAGTCTGCTTTTTAGTTTTCCAAGAAACCGGGGAATGCCCAAGAAAAACTAGCCAACTAGATAGGGACTTCCGAGTAAGGGGACATGCAGCCCAGTCGGAATCACACCACCTAGTAAGAGTAAGATCACTATCGGCCCGAAGCAAAATCCCTTGACCCGGAGAGCCTTTAAGATATCGGACAACTCGAAATGCGGCATGCCAATGATCTTGACCAGGATTATGAAGAAATTGAGACAAAATGTGAACTGCATATGCCAAATCCGGGCGGGTAACGGCCAGATAGACAAGGCGTCCCACTAGACGACGATAGGGCTCAAGATCCGTGAGAGGGGGACCCAAGGCATGGGCCAAATTGTGATTGGGTTCAATAGGAAATGCTGCAGGCTTAGCACCCAACAGTCCTGTCTTAGTAATAATATCTAATGCATATTTGCGCTGAGTAAGAAACAACCCGGAAGGGCTCCGAGCAACCTCAATGCCAAGAAAATATTTTAACCTGCCCAGATCTTTCATATGAAAGCAATCACTGAGATAGACTTTAAAAGAATTAATGGCAACAAAATCATTGCCAGAAATAATAAGATCATCCACGTAAACCAAGACATTGAGCTGAATAGCCCCACGAGTGCGTGTAAACAAAGAATAATCCGCAAATGACTGAGTAAAGTTGTACCCCTTTAAAGCACTGACTAGTTTGGCAAACCAACACCTTGGTGCCTGTTTAAGGCCATACAAGGATTTTTCAGACGACAAACCAAGGTAGAATCAGAAGTAGACTAACCTGGAGGTAAAGTCATGTAGACTTCTTCATGCAAGTCGCCATGAAGAAAAGCATTATGAACGTCCATCTGATGTAGTTCCCAGTTCTTAGAAGCAGCAACAACTAAGAAAGCACGTACCGTCACCATTTTGGCAGCAGGAGCAAAAGTCTCAATATAGTCAAGCCCAGCAACTTGGTGGTTGCCAAAGACAACCAGGCCCGCCTTATAACGCTTCACACGTCCATCAGCATGGTATTTAATTTTATAAACCCAACGACAACCCAAAGCCCGCTTTCCGGGGGAAGATGTGTGAGATTCCATGTGGAATTTTTTTAAGAGCTTGGATTTCCGTATGCATGGCATCACGCCATTCAGAATGCTGAACAGCCTCACAGAATGATTGAGGCTTTGTGTTAGAAGAAACAACTGCAAGAAATATACGATGTGGTGCAGAAAAATTGTCACAACTAACATTCTCCTCAAAAAGAAATAGGCAAATTAGCCTGAAATCTCAATACCCTAGCCACATTGAGGATATATTGATGTTTTCGCTCAACCCTCCCATTCTGCTGTGGTGTGCCAACACAAGAGGTTTGGAAAATAATCCCACTAGTTTGAAAAAAACTTTTCAAACAATTAAATTATGTGCCATTATCACAACGCACAACGCGTACCTGTTTGGAAAATTGTCTTTCAACCATGGTGATAAAAGACATAAACATTTTAAAGACTTCAATCTTGTCCATCAATAAATAAATCCATACAGCACGGGAACAATCATCAACAATAGTCAAAAATAGTTTGGCACCACAAGAAGAAGAGGTAGTATACGGTCCCCATAAATCACAATGAATTAGCTCAAAAAATATCATGAGTTTTATTATTACTAGTCGGAAAAGAATCCCGGTGTTGCTTGGCCTTAAAACAAATTTCACAAGCAGAAGAAAAAGAACCCCGTAAATCACTCACTGGTGCCATCCAACTAGATCTGCACAAACACGGGCTCGGGCCGGGCTCGGGTTGGGTTTATTCTAAAAAAACTGCCCACTTGTAGTGGGCGGGCTCGGCCCGGCCTGGTAAAACGGGCCTCCTCATATGTCCAAGCCCGCCCATGAGAGCGGGTCGGGCTGCCCACCGGGCTTTTGGGCCTGGAAAATATCCTTTTGTCAACTCTGTTAAAAAAATGAAAACATTTATAAAATAACAATACAACATTTTAAATGCAATTAAATAATTAATGTACTCACAACACATTTTGAACACAAGAATACGTTTAAATGCAATACACAAAACGATTCTGGAAAACAAAAAGCATCCAAATTCCAAATAAGCATCCATATTCCATAATTAAATGCACAATCACAGATTCACAATGTGCAGCGGAAATAGTCAAGAGTATCTCCAAAAAGACTTAACAAATCTATATCATTATAGTTCAAATTTAAATAGTAGAACACAAAAAGTAATTGGTATCCCAAGATTCCAAGAACTTCTCGACACTCCTTCATTTCACCAGAAAGTAATTGATTTCCCAGACTGCTCTGCCAAGTGCCAATAAATATCAAATAATGAAAACCAAATATTATTTATAAACAAAGTAAAAACATTGAGATAATGAAAACTACTATATTGTGATTTCTGAATCTTACCGTCTGTGAAAGAGAAGCATTGTCTTACACTAGAGTAGCATTTCATCTTCTTCATCCTCGCTATCATTCGAACGTCCATCACCGATCTTGAACATACTTGCGGAACCTTACAAGTTAAAAAAAATGGAAAATAATGACACTTGTGAATAATGACATGGTAATGAAATTATACTTCCAAGTATTTTAAGTTTTATACGTATAGTCATATAATGTATAATTATATAAAGAATAATATATATAATATGTTTACGGACCGGGCTTTTAGGCCTGACCGGGCCTATATTACAACCCAAGCCCGCCCATATTTTAAACGGGTCGGGCCAGGGCCGGGCCGGTGGGCTAAAGCATGTGTCCAAACCCGCCCATTTATATGGGCGGGCCGGGCGGGCCAACCCGGAATTGTGCAGGTCTACAACCAATGCATCACATTTCTAGAAGGATGCCCCAGCCGTTTGTGACATAGATCAAGAGCTGATTGCTTGGTGCCATCAATTGTTAAAGCATGTGCAGTGGTTGACTCCCTAAGATAATACAGCCTAGTGGTTGAGAGAGAAGATTTAAATAAATACAAATATGATTTGTAGCTCCAGTGTCAAGTATCCAAGTTCCGGTGCAAGAATTACTTACCATGCGACCCGACTGCGGATTACCAAAAGCGGATATCAAAGCTTGCCATTGCTCTGGGGTAAACCCGGGCAATGGCGTACCTGACGATTGATTCCCATCAGCTAATTCTTGTGGTAAATTGGGCTCCATTACTGCTGCATGAGCTTTTGCCAACAGCTTGCCGCATCCAGTCCCCTTCACCGGTCCCTTGCCACGTCCAACTCCCTTGCTATCGGACCTTGGTCGATCACCCCACCAATCCGGGTATCCCTTTAGTTCAAAGCAGTTGTTCACGTCATGGCCAGTATATTTGCAGTAAGAGCAAACTAGATCAGCCTTATCAATTTTATTTCCACGTCCATATGTGCGTCCCGCTGTGCTGACGGCAAATCTGAGAACCTCCTGTGGGTCAGACCTAATAGTCATACCTCTCACACGTTCTTCCTGCACAGTCTGTTGGTACGACCGGTTCAGGGACGGAAGAGGCACCTCCATCAAAAGTTGTGACCTAACGGGACCAAAAAATTCATTTAGTCCCATAAGAAACTGATGAAAACGTTCTGCCGCCCTACGTTTTTCATGCTGCTTCCCTATATCATAAGTGCAGCGGCCACATTTACATTCAATTATTGGTTCATGGTTGTTCAGTTCATCCCATAAGATTTTTAATTTGGCATAATAGGTGCCAATTAACATCCCTTTAGCCTGCGTACATCTCGCTAAATCCGATTTAACTTGGTGGATTTTTGGTCCATCCACGGCTGAGAAGCGTTCACGCAGATCATCCCATAAGGTCTGAGCATCCTCGTATTTGGACAATGTGGTTTTCACATCCGGAGAAATCGTGTTAAGGATCCAAGACACCAACATAGAATGAATCGTGAGCCAATCGTCCTCCGTACATGGGGGTTTAGGCTTGGTGATGGTGCCATCAACAAATACATATTTTCGTCTTGCTCGCAACGCCAAACGCATTATGTTTGCCCAATCATCATAATTATCCCCGCTGAGCCGTACCGGTGTGATAGAGTCACCGGGACGATCCTGCAGCCCCAAAAAATAGGGCAAAGAATAATACATTTTTTCCGGCACCCGTCCAGCAGAGTCTTCTTCACCGATTGCCATAGCAGTGTGTGTGCGTTTTAGGGATCTGATACCATGACAGAATGTTTAGCCAAAGAATAATTAGAATAATTTTAATGTATTGTATTGCTTAGCCCAAAAGTTCATGCGGCATCCCCTTAATATAGGAAGAGTCAACTGATTACAAGGAATACTCCTAGAAGAAAACAATCTCTATTAACTAAATAATAAATGATAGAATATTTCCCTAACATAAATAAGAGATATTGTAATATATAGCATTCCCAATGGCCCTCGGCTACAGCAATTGCGTGCTTCGATCATCGAGTGTAAACAGAGAAAATCCATGACCCTGGATGCCTACTACACAACATTAATGGCTCTTTATGATGAGAGTTATATGGGCTGAAACCCTTACATGCATGCTCATGGGGGTTGTGTACTTGCGGTGTGGTTGAGAAATTCGATGCCGACCGCGGGGAAGAAAAGTTGCACCAATTCCTTATCGGAATAGATGATGAAATTTTTGGGACAATGAGGTCTAACCTCTTGTCACATACACCTTTTCCTGATCTCAACCGTGCTCATCAAGCATTTTTGCAAGAAGAAAAGTCAAGAGCGATTGCTCGTGGTAAGACCTTATCAGCGGCACAAATGTAGGCCTTTGCTCTTAAGGCAGATCAAACTGCAAAGGGGCATGATGATAGGACAGACCGCCCTAGACCCGTATGTACTCATTATAAGCAGAAACGACATGAGGCCACTTTGAGTAAGGAGAAAATTCAGGCTCTTTTAAATTTGATTAATGCTGATACTCATTCATGTGACCGTATGTTGGGTAAGAATTTGTCCTTTCTTGATTGGATTATTGATACGGCAGCATCGCATCATGTCACGGGTGACCCCATATGTCTTAGTAATCCCACACGGGTTGATGCTTGTCCGGTTGGTTTGTCGGACGGTAGACAGGTTGTTGCCATATTAGAGGGTCGTGTGCCACTCTCCAAGGGACTCACCCTTGAACGTGTTTTATATGTGTGAGGATTGAATTGTCATCTTATATCTGTTTCCCAGTTGACTGATCAATCAAAATGTCTTGTCACATTTACTAATACTCTTTGTGTTATACCTGACCTACACTCAAGGAGCCTGATTGAAATCGATGAGAAGGGAGATGGACTGTTTTACTTCAAAAGGATACCTACTCTGCACGCAGTTCAAAGGGGCTTTGATGGAGTTTGAGTTATGGCATCGTCGATTGGGTCACCCTTCAGATCGGGTTCTTAAATTGTTGCCTCATTTTATTACTAGTTCTACTCAAAAGAAATTGAATAAAACTTGTGAAGTTTGTCCACAAGTCAAACAAGTCTGTGACTCTTTTCCTCTTAGTCATAATAAAGCTAGTCGAATTCTTGAATTGATTCATTGTGATTTATAAGGACCTTATAAAACCCCATCTACTTGTGATGATGTTTACTTTCTTACACTTGTTGATGGTTACTCACGGGTTGTTTGGGTTTATTTGCTTCGGGACAAAAAGGAAGTGCACAAGTACTTTTTTTCCTTTCTCGCTATGGTTGAAAAACAATATGATGTGGCGGTAAAAATAGTGTGTAGTAATAATGGGACAGAATTCAATTGTATGTTGCCTCATTTTAACATTCATGGGATTTTGTTCCAGATCTCATGCGTCCATACACCCCCAACAAAATGGGCGAGTGGAGCGCAAACACTGACATATCTTAAATGTAGCATGGACTTTGATGTTTCAAGCTCACACTCCCGTGCGTTTATGGGGTGAGTGTGTCCTTACGGCAGTCGACCTTACTCATTGGACGCCGTCAGGCCTTTTAGGCGGTAAGACCCCTTACGAAGTACTTATCGGCGTGGTTCTGACGTTCTCTCATTTGCGCATTTTTGGGTGTCTTTGCTTTGTACATAATTATCAAGCTAAAGGCGATAAATTTTCTTCTGGTAGTCAGAAGTGTGTGTTTGTTGGGTATCCTCACGGGAAGAAGGGTTGGAAATTGTACGATTGGCACATGAGAGATATTTTTGTATCTCGTGATGTGGAATTTCATGAAGATGAATTTCCATTTCTCTCTTCGGTCTCACTAGCTCCGTCCTCCGATATTACTGAAGATATGCTTTTAGCCAGGGATACAAATCTGGTTATTTATATGGATTATGTTCGTGTAGACTCTGCCACACATGACACGGCGTCCCAAGCTTATGGTTCTTCCGCAGTCACTGTTCATGAGTCAACTGCCCCTTGAGTGATGCAGCCATTGACGAGACGGGTTCTGCCCCTTTGGGCCTTTGACAATGGTCAAGAATCCCGCTCTTTTAAAGATGCCATGGCCGACTTGGGATGGCGTAAAGCTATGCAGAGTGAGATTCAGGCCCTTGAAAATAATAATACTTGGATTATGCAGCGGCTTCCCTTAGGAAGTTTACATGAAGCCTCCTCCTTGTTTTTATTCCTCTCAGCCTGGGCTCGTTTGTCGTTTGAAAAAATCTTTGTATCGTTTACGTCAAGTTCCTCACTGCTAGTTCTCCAAGTTGGCGGCTTACTTGAAGAAATATGGTTTTCCTCGGTCCTATTCTGATTATTCCTTATTTACTTTTCGCCAGGGGTCTGTTCATTTACATGTTCTTGTGTATGTGGATGGCTTGATTGTCGTTGGAAATGATTCTACAACCTTATCCAAGTTCAAATCCTATTTACACTCTAGCTTTCACATGAAAGATCTTGATGTCCTCAAATATTTTTTGGGCATAGAAGTGGCACATGGGGCGGAAGGCTTATTTTTGTGTCAATGCAAATATATGTTGGATATTATTTCTGAGGCAGGTCTTCTTGGTGTCAAACCTTCTATTTTTCCTATGGAACAAAATCATGTTTTGGCACTTGCTATGGGGGCTCATTTATCTGATCCTGAATCCTATCATTGACTTGTTGGATGGCTTATTCATCTCTCATTCACCCAACCTGATTTGGCTTATGTTGTTCATATTTTGTCTCACTTTATTCAGTCTCCTCATCAAGAGCATTGGGCGGCAGCTCTACGCGTGGTTCGTTTTTTAAAGGAACTCCATGCCAGGGTATTCTTCTCCACACCATGTGTGACTTAACTCTGATCGGGTGGTGTGATTCTGACTGGGTCAGCTGTCCACTTACTCGTCCTTCTCTCACCGGATGGATGATATTTCTTGGTGGTTCACCTGTATCTTAGAAGACAAAGAAACAAAGTAGTCTCTTGATCCTCTACTAAAGATGAGTATCGCTCTATGGCTGTTGTGACTGCGGAATTAAAGTGGCTTAAGGGTCTTCTTCTCACATTGGGCTTTGATCATTCGCGGCCCATGTCATTGTTTTGTGATAGTACTCTACTCTTCATATTACCCATAATTCTGTTTTCGGAAGCGCACGAAACACATTGAGGTTGATCGCCATTATGTTCGTGATGCTCTTCAAGCCGGGATTATTGTTTCTCAACATGTCTCCACTACTGAACAGTTCACCGACATCTTCACCAAGGCCCTAGGCAAACGGCAATTTTTGTATTTACTTGGCAAGTTGGGCATTTTGTATCTGCATGCTCCAACTTGAGGGGGGTGTTAGACACATATGGGCTATATTATTTTTGTATAGCTTTATTTTTTGCATATATTTGGGCCGAGGTCTCCTTTGTTTGTTAGATACTTGTATAAATACTCATGTAATTGTTAATAGAAGCCAAGGGGATAATTAACCCTAATTAATCACACGCTTCCTAGCAAAACTAGTTATAATAATTAATGCAGATTTAGCTTAAATTTGCTTACAGAAATTTATACTAAGTATAAACTTTCAGCTTCTCACACCTCCAAACTCTGATACAATAATAATAGTAAAGGAGTAGTAAACAGAACTTTCTTATTTTAACGGACATGGAATGGTTTTGGTTCTAGACTAGTTCCTAACTACAGGATCTTTAAAAAATGCTAGCTTGCGGTACAGAACTTTACTCCTTGAAGTGTTTACTGCTACAATGTAATTCTTCAATTCCTATTTAATCATCCAAATGATGGATGGACTTGAAATGTAGTTTCAAAATACTTTTATCCTTGAAAATTTTCTTAAAATTAATAACAAAAAAGATTCATGTGTAGAAAGTAGAAACAGCTGTGTGATAAACTAAAAGAGTTGTGTTATAGTAAAAACAAAGTTTTGAAAAAAATGATACGAAGTATTTTTTTAAATAGTAGAAGTTTGAACTTTGAAGTGTTTAATATGAAAAGTTTTCATTAGGAAATGATCTCTATTCTCTACGCCTAACTTATTGACGTATAAATTTATAATACTCATACAAGACATAGTTAGATATGGGTTAGAGAGATAAATGTTGCATAATGTATAATACTTTTACATAGAAGAGAAAAGATGCAAATACACTCTTAATGTTTAGGTACAAATATGCCTCTAAATTTTGCAAGGTGCAAGAATAACTCTAGTGTTTCCATCAAGGAGCAAACTAGTCCTTGTGAACTTTTAAATCTAGGACTGAAAACAATAAAAGTAAAACATCCTTAATGTATTTTTGTACAATACTCAACATACTTTTTTACATTAATCGTCTTGTTTGAGTTTACACTTGACGCTCTTATTAATAAATTGATTCAAAACATATAAGGTGTACAATTTAAATTTGAATAGAAAAAGTGAAACGATATGAACATCACATCTTCCCCAAGCAAAGAAATTAGACAATTGTTTTGGAACAATCCGAAATGGAAACAAAACAATTTTAAGGGAGAGGGAGTATTTCTTCTTATCTTGATGTTAATTCTAACTATACATATAGAAATAATTTAATCATACATATCTGTATATAGAAATAATTTAAAAAATAAATCACTCCATTTCCCTCTACCCTCCGAATATATCAAGCCCTTAATGACAATCGTGACGTGAGATTTACACAAACGCAACATGCGCACTCAAGTATTTAAGGATCAATACAAATAAATAAACCAACAAACAGCTACACAAGTTGTCTTCTATAGAGTTACATAAATTGCCCATCTCTGTTTCCCAGGGAAACTTTACAGCAACAATCTCCTCGCAGGAGCTGGTGGAGCCAGCCCAGGAATGTCCCTTATGTCCTTGTTGTTGGGATTCACAATCTGACAAGTTAGCAAAACGTATTTAGCTTCCACTTCACTTCAAGTCTTCAATCATGGTAAAGACAACTTTACATGCAGATTAAATATACTACTACACCTGTTGTTCTGTTCTTATTCTTATATATGTCTCTGAAATCTATGCACATAAAAAACTGAATGTACCCTTCTTAAATACATCTTAAATGAGGTTTTTAATACAAAAAGATTATATTAGTAGTGTAGTGTAGTAGTGTAGTAGTGTAGTACAATGACATGCACTTCAGCCTCAGTTGGATTTATTCGGTAGTCGGAAGTGAACTGTTGAGATTTAATGGTTAAGAATCAGGTAAAGTTAAGTTTAAATTGACGGGAATAAACCCCAAGGTATCAGCGAGGCCTTAAAATCCAGTGATTGGGGATTCCTAGGAATCAGTGGATTCCCAGAGTTTTTTTAAATACAAATTGGACATCACACCTAATTCCCAGGAATTCCCTAATCTCAGGAACTGAAAACTGATCCCTATAAAACTTAAATCAGTGAAACATGCTTCAATCACACTCAAAGAATCCCAATATGAAATGGCCTGCTTAGCTACAAGCCTACAACATTTACTATAGCAGTAAACGAAGGAGTTTTCAGGAGGGAGAGAGAGAGTGTAGTGATTACCTTCACAATGATTATTGCAACTACACCACAGACAATGAGGAAAAGGAACAGCATGATGCATTTATCAGTAGCCACCTGAAAAATAATTGCATCTGGTTAACAAATAAAAGAGACTATGAGGGAAGTGATTAGTTAGGCCACACTTGTAAGGATTTCATTTACAGACCTGCCTGCCAATCTCTTTTACAAGCTGAGATGCCTTTTTAATGGAGAATTGAATTGTGTCGAGCTCATTAACAATGCGTCCCATTTGTTCAGTCTAATGATTTGAAGCAAAATGAATGCTTAGATTTAGGAGCTTAAACAGTTTTACAGTTCTATTAAAAAAGAGATAGAAATGAGATACTAACTTGGCCCTTCAAGGTAGTAGCAGTTTGCGTTCCTATTTCAATTGTTTGGTGAACAACCTACATACATTGCCACAGAGTTTAGTTAAAAAGAAGAAGATAACTGTGATATAAAAGTCAAGTACTCAAGTACACGCCTGTTTTGAGCGTTCAATGGCCTGGTCAGTTTCATCCATTCTCTGCATTCCAACATTGATTAGCTCCTGATTTGACATTTCTGGAGGACATGTTAAGGTGATAGTTATATCTACAATTACTTAAGGAACTAACTAGACAGAGTAAGAGTTTCATCCATTCACCTGATGCAACTTTTACATTCTCGTCTGTAGTAGGTTCACTAGCACCTACTCCCCCATCAAAGAGTTCAAGCTTTTTGTTGCCAGAAGTACTCATATACCTGAATTTAGAAAATATAGAAAGATCAGAGAAAAAGAATGGCCAAGAGAAGGGAATAAGACATCACGAAAAACACAACCAAACTCAGCCAGGCAGATGCCAAAATAAAATATCAGGTTTAGACTATGATGGTTCTATACCAGAATTTTGCATTTGTATTATGTGCATATGGTAAAGGTTGCTTCTGAAAAATTATTTCTAGAAAGACAAACTAACCAAATGCATTGACTTACTTTTTCCTCAGGGCAACATATGAATTAAGCTTTTTAATCTGCAAGTATGAAAACATTAGGAATATAAATAAACAAGATGCATCATAGCAAGCATGGGACACTTGAGCAGAATGTATGCAATAGGACCAAAACTGATATTACAGAATGGCAGAAAAGAAAACCTCCATCTAAAAGTAAAGTTCCTAGTTTGACTTGACACGCTTATTAATAAATCAGAACAGTGAAATTGTGTATTTGAGATTTATTTAGAGGATAGAGAAGTAATATGAAGCACGTAATTCTTCTCTTAAAAAGATTCACTCACTTTATTTTAGGACAGATAGAAAAGGAAAAATGAACCTTATTTTAGTATGCAACTTATGGATGCAAGAACTCAAGTTACAAGTGAGTGAATCGAATACATGAATAAAATCAAACCAAACAAAACTAAGCCTTTTCCAATGAGGCAGGACAGCTATGTGGATCAAGTAACCCTGTTTGTTCCGGTTACAGATATTTCTCAATAACCCCATAATCATAAGGTGTCACATAATTGACTCTAACCATTCAAATATATTTAATTTTCAATGAACATAATCAAGATTAGATTACGGATCAATGGAGATGGCCAGTTTGATCCACTCATCCACTATTTAAATAAACAATAAAAAGATCAGTAGTTTTGCATCATAAGAACAATTTGACAGTTAATATATAGTTCAATAAAATAATCAGCATCTTCAAACCAGCTTAGACCCAACAGAAATTTCATGAAGTGTATGTACCATTGATTGCTTTTCATCATTAAGTTGCTTGTTGACCTCAGGTGGATTTTTACTCTCCTCATCTTTTATTTCACGATCAAACTCTTTGATTAACCTAAAAGAAGTGAAAAGTAAAATTATCACATTGGCCAATTTTTGGTATATACCATAAAATACGAAAATACATAACCCTAACCAAATACTTTTACAGACCACCAATACTTCAGCATTTTCATGCCCAAGTTAAAACAACAGCCAGATAAACAATGTACCTTTTACACTCCTTCATCTTATCAGTAAGATCTTCAAGTTGTTTACTCTGTCTGTTAGAGTCTTTGATCTTATCCAACTTTTGAAAGCCATTTCTGTGACGTGTCAAGAATGTGCGGAATTTGTTTAGGAGTTGGGGCAAACCGGATTACCGGAAAAGACAAATATGTAGAAAGATATGCATGCAAATGTCATTGACAAAGAAGCACTTCAACTCAGTATAAAGAACAGAATATTGATGCTGGTCCAATAATCAGATTAAATGAAAAGTAAAAAGAACAGCACTCTGACTTTCATTTTCCCTATACGTAACTGTTAAGTGATTACTAATGAATTCCGTATCTCTAGTCCTCTGTGTAGTATCATATGTTTTTCCTTTAAGAAGAGGCAATTTGGCGGTTATGAAAAAGAAGATAGATTTTTGAAGCCTTGAGGGAAGCAAAACATGGGAAGGTATATTGTATCATACTGTTATTTCCATTATACTACGTATTATAAGAACCATGTGCAGATAGCCAGATATATGATGAAGATTGAAGAATATAAACAGCAGGAAGTATTTTTATCGTTTAGGAGTATAACAAAGGCTCAATCTGCATTCTGCAATAAATGTTGTAATGTTGCAACTCCAGGGTGCTCAGAGACAATACCCCTCACACCTCCTGTCGGAGTTATATCGTTTCTCAACTGAACTGCAAACACTAATATTGTACTTTGAAAAAACAACAACATGAAAAGCAATGTGTTTCTGTCAATATTTAATGCCAGCAGTGCTGCAACGTTTGTTTTGATCCTTAGCAGAACCGACTACTTTTATGTTTCCTTTGAGCGGAGGACAGGGGGTTGGCCTCCAGGCCAGAGTTGTCCTCTTAGACGTATCGTAGATGTTGGTCTTAAGGACCCTATCACTTCTCAGAATGAGATTTTCCATTTCATCTCATGTCAGGATCTTTTAATTCACCACTTGTTGGATTTGAATCGACCTATTATCTTGGTACTATGGAAAGACAAAAGTTTTTAACATAATATTGAAGACAGCTTCTTGCAGACCCCACCCCAATACCTCTGTATATGAGATAAAAATAGTAAAGAATCAAGTGCTCAAAATAGACATTTTTTTTCTAAGTTGATGGGGTGGAGAAGATAAGCTAAGCATATTTTTACGATCAGCCCCCCTTTATAATTGATTGGATTTAACCTTCATGGATTTTCATGATTAAGATGAGAATACAGTGTAATAAAACTATACAAGCAACTAACAGATGACTACAAACAATTACGGGGTAACACTTACTAGCAGATGGCTAATTCCCAATACAATTAACAATAATTCATAACAGCACACCTAAATAAAAGTTATTTCGATTTTGTCTGGCACTGTATAAAATAAATATATTTATAGAGATTACCACTAGGCAGAATAAGACAATGTAGTTGCAATCTCTAAAGTTTATCTGAAGGTAGCATGTGTGTGAATATGCATGGACATGCTTTAACAAAAAAGCATTTAAAAGGAAAGAGAGTTTCATATCCTAAGAATAAGCATCTGCTACTTAGGTTTACAACCATTTTTAAAGACCATACCAAAGAAACTATTATGCTTGGCATTCACTCTCCCTGATTTGTTTCGAAATTCAGCCAATAATTGACATTACATATTCAGGGGCTTTCTGCTTGAACCCAAATTAAATTAAAGGCATATAAAAACCTTAGCTTGACCTGAAGGACAATCCACTTCCATAGTAACTTGATAGCTTAGGATCTAACATTTACAAGCAAAGAATATCTTTTGAATAAATATGCAAATAAAGTTGCCACTCAGGAAGCATATGCAAGCAAGCAAATTAGACAGGGAATAGGAGACTCACTCTAGCGCTCGGAAGTTGTCCCAAATTTCCCCATGGATCTGCTCCATTTGAGTGCTCATTTGCAATTTCGAGTCCCCCATGATCGCTACCTCTTTACCTTCTTGTTTACGGACGGTTATAGACCAACTGCCGGAGAAAGAACCTCACCGGCAGAGCGAATGTAATTGGGGAAACACCTTAACAGGCATAAAAAATGCGCTTTTCCAAGTGACTCGCCATTACCACTCTGAAAAGTGCTCAAGGAAAAAAATAAAAATCAGGATGCAGGATGAAACTGGGTTTTTGAATTGGGGTGGTAAATTGGAGATGGTTTAGGGTTGGATCAAAGAGGGAGGGAGAAGGTGGAAGGAAAGAACAGACTGACATTCCGTGTTGGGAAGTACAGGCTGCCAAGTGCCAACCCTTTTTTACTCTTTTTATTTTGTTTTTTTCTAATTCGAATCCTAAGTTATCAAATCTTCTTTTCTTTGAACGTTTCTCATGTCCACATGAATATTTCTTTGAAAACATAATTACTACTACTTATTTAAATTCTTCAATAATCCTCTACATCTTTCTATAATACAAAATCAAGAGAAAAATTGTATAGTGTTCTCGTCCAAACACTGTACAATAACGGGTCGGATTGACTTATCCATGGGTGCAAAAATGGGTCTCCAACAGCTCAGTGGTAGCTTTAAACCTGGCCCAGTATCCAATGCTGTCAGTTCGGCTGAGTAATGCTTTTATGAATTAAAAAATATCAGAATTTGTACTTATGAATCTTGAGCCACAAAAATATTTAATGAGTTATACTATGATATATTTAATTTTGGTACCTCTCATCACCTTTTTAAAAATATGCTTTTGTGATGATTTAAAAGGGAAGTAAGGTGTACTTCAAATCTTAGAGACACTCGAGATGGTTTTGCATGACGTCGAGGTAGAATTTATTCCTCTAATAAATGATTTGTTTCATAATAATAAAACATTCGTTGTTAACGTTTGAATGTGTGAAATAGGGTGATCGGATTAATGCAACAATCAAGAGACCACAAATTGCTATGTACAAGACTATGATAAAAGAGCACAAGATCTATGCTATATGGAACTTTTTAGTTCTATACAATTACCAAACGGTAAAGACCACAAATCATCCCTACATGATTCAGTTCATCTCCAAAACCCAATTCAGGAAATACACAAAGACATAACTGCCTATGATGGTCTACGATTTTCAACCTTTTGATATGTTGCACGCCCAAAGGGTTATCAACGACAAAACTCTCATCGATGAGTAAAATCAGATTATATACCTAACTAAGTAGTTTAAGCAATTGTGCTAACAACAGTTTATACGACTGTTTCAGATATCATTGGGAAGGTTATCAACAAAAGCATCGTTCAAACCCATATCATCAATGGGAAAACAAAAAGGCTAATGGAACTAACTCTGGTAGATCCAGAGTGATTTTTTTTCATTCAAAATAGTTTTGGTACAAGAATAATTTTTCATGATAATGGCTAAAAACTTCTTAACACGACGGGGGTAACAAACTGGGGTGTATCCTATGGAACAAATACATAAACCAGTATCAGGATTATGTTAATGAGAACGTTGGAGTGCCTATTTTTGTGATATTTCAACTGTGTAGACCAAAGAGATATCAAGGTATTCAAACGTCTAATTTTTCTATTTAGACAATACAAGTAGCTTAACGATGTTATTTATACACAGGTACTCTGAGTGTGGCTTCGTCCTTTAATGTGTCCAAATTCATCATCAACGGAAACACAACTGAATTTCTAGAGTTTCAAAGCGAGTACGATTAAATTTTTGTTTTTCATCTAATAATTATCTAATAATAATAAAAGGTTTTACAACGACAACAAATTACGTTGCATAATGAACAAAGCATAGTTTCCAGATTTGGTAATTATAAATCCTAAGCTATTGTTGTAAGCAGCATCCCTAATTGGTAATAATCGTTGTGTCAAAATCTTTTTGAATGAACAGGGTGTAACACCCTGTTCATCACACTGTCGCAGGGTTGCTCTGATACCATATGTAACATCCCGGCCCCATAGGCTCTGAGATAGTTACTTCTGACCTCTAGTAATGTCCTCACAAACTGCCACTAGCCTTTTCCGCGCACTTTGTCCTCACTCGTGCGCGCCCTGAGAAACTTCCCGGGGGGTCACCCATCTCAAGACTACTCCCGTGCAAGCACGCTTAACTTTGGAGTTCTTAGGCGGTGAGCTCCCTTAAAAGGAGATGCATCTTGTTGGTATGAGTAGTACTATTAATCCTCTTAAATTAATCTCGGGTATTACAATCACCCCCACTTAGGAACGCAACGTCCTCGTTGCGCCCATAAACCAATCTCAATCATATCCCAGAATCTTTTCCCCTGCTAAGTGCCCGCCCGATATCCAATTGATCATCACACTGTCGCAGGGTTGCTCTGATACCAATTTGTAACACCCCCATTTTCCCGCCCAAAATAATACTTGAAATAATAATATATTGATAACAAATCTTGATTTATTCCTTAAAAATAGATAGAGTTTTGCAGCGGAAATAACAGTAATGGAAAAAGGGTGTGTTACCGCCACACCCAGCCCTCGACATGGTTGGATGTTAAGGCTATCCACCATGAGTTCAATCAAATTAAAAACTTAAATTCAAAATTTAATAACATAATTTAAACTAAGTGAAATTCTACACTTAAATCTTCTAAAGCGCTCTCAAGGCTCGTCAAACATCATGAGCTTCATATTCATCATTACCTGCACAAATAAAGTGCAGAAAACAAAACAAAGAAAAGGAAACAAAAATTAGCTTTAGAGCTAAGTAAGGCCCACCCAACCCCGTAAAATAATCATGTTTGGCGAAAATAATTTTTCATATAATACTATATAAAAATACTCACACCACCGAAATTCTTTTCTAATCAAAAACATCATTTATCAACTTTACAATCTCAAATACATGTATAGTTAAAAATAATACTTATATGCTCCAAACAATTAACATCTCAAATAAAAGTATCACTCTTCAAAATATAACTTTTGTAGCTAAAAATACCACCATTCCAAAACCAAAGTCATTCTTAGATTCTTTTAAGATGGGCGAAACTCAAGATTCCTCGAGTCCAATGAATCGTTGTTGTGTACGACTCATCCCGGAATTCCGGCTCCCACCGACCACCAATTGGAAACTGAACTTCACCCTTAAGTGCGCACACCCCCTAAAAGGGATTCCAAGCTCTCCGAGTAGTAAGAAGTCCAAGTAGTTCGGACAACGTCCCCCTACCTCACAATGGGTTAGATACCCGGGTGATTAGAAACTACTACCGCGACCACCAAAGAACTTTTAAAGTTCTCAAAAGAAATACCGGGAATCTCCCGCCACCAATATTTACCAGGATTTCTCCCGCCACCAATAATCAACCTAAACTAAACCCGCGGTATATAGCTCTAACCACCCTCCACATTTATCCAGATGTGGAAAAATCGACACCACGGATTTCTCCCGGGTGCTCACCTCTTATAAAATCCTTAATTTTATCTTGAATCAAGATATACTTCCAAAAATATTTCTCAATCTCTCTAAATAGTCTCAAAGGTATTTAAAAATATTTTATACTCCAAAAAGTACTCTTATTTTGTATTCCTCAAATATCACATACACATAATTCAAAATTCACACTTCATCACATAATAATGCATAATAAGCATATAATACGAGGAAACAAATTTTGGATTGGCAGAGAAACTTAACGTAGGTCCTGACGCTCCTAATTCTTCTCTTCAATTCCGGTCTCTAAATATTCACCTTCTTAATTAAGATGATATAATTAGTCACTTATTCTATTTCAATAATTTATCCAATTTTCCCCTTTTATTTTATTATTTCGAATTTATTAGTTTAATTAATTGTTCGAGTTATTTGACTAATCACTTTTATTAATCAAGTCACTTTATTAATTCGGCCAATATTTATGTAACACCCCGGCTCCGTAGGCCCCGAGGTAGTTACTTCTGACCTCTAGTACTGTCCTCACAAACCGCCACTAGCCTTTTCCGCGCACTTTGTCCTCACTCGTGCGCGCCCTGAGAAACTTAGATGCATCTTGTTGGTATGAGTAGTACTATTAATCCTCTTAAATTAATCTCGGGTATTACAATCACCCCCACTTAGGAATGCAACGTCCTCGTTGCGCCCATAAACCAATCTCAATCATATCTCAGAATCTTTTCCCCTGCTAAGTGCCCACCCGATATCCAATGGATCATCACACTGTCGCAGGGTTGCTCTGATACCATATGTAACACCCCGGCCCTGTAGGCCTCGAGATAGTTACTTCTTACCTCTAGTACTGTCCTCACAAACTACCACTAGCCTTTTCCGCGCACTTTGTCCTCACTCGTGCGCACCCTGAGAAACTTCCCAAGGGGTCACCCATCCCAAGACTACTCCCGTGCAAGCACGCTTAACTTTGGTGTTCTTAGGCGATGAACTCCCTTAAAAGAAGATGCATCTTGTTGGTATGAGTAGTACTATTAATCCTCTTAAATTAATCTCGGTTTTTACACAGGGGGAGACTTACTGGGTGCTTGGTGAGATAGTTTCTTTAGAAAATACTCGGGAGTGGTGCTACCTAAGCTGCCCAACATGCAAATGTCACAAAAAATTGGTACCGGAGGAGGAAAGGTTTAGGTGTTCGACTTGCATCGTGACACTAGCAGATGGAGTCTACCGGTACTTAATATCAACTAATTTGACCAAAAGATATATCGTTATAGGGGTTGATGTATTGGTTTACACTAAATTCATTTTTTCTATATGAATTTCAAATAAACTAATGCATTGTAACTCTCAAAACAATTAAGGTATAAGGTCAGCGTGTGTATCATGGACAACATCGGGCATGGAAATTTTGTTTTATGGGATAGGGAGTGCATAGAGATTCTGGGCAAAACTTCTGCAACCATAATGGCCGAAGTCAAGAAGGTAAAATCTATAATTTGAGGGACAACGTATGTTAGTTAAAATTTGCCCACTCATATTTTATTTCATTAAGTATCTTGGCAAAAAATACAGAAAATGGGGGATCCAACACGTTTTCCAGAAGATATTGAGAGTTTGATTGACAAAAGGGAATATTTAAAATACAACTAAAGAAGAGAGGTGAAGAGAATGCCTACAAAGGTGGGATTTGTCTAGGAGTTGTTAGTATGATTCGAGATCCTATTGTGCTGGCAATGTACGAAGGAAAGTCGGAGCAATTGGGAATAAATGAAAGCAATGAGAGTACTCCGGAAAAGGTATTTGCAAAAACTCTTTGTATGTTCATTTGCAGTTTCGATCTAAAGATGATGCCTAAAAGTGACTCTCCGTTTCATATTGGTTCATGTGAAAATTTGGAAGAAAATGAC